CTTCTGTTCTACCTTCATTGCAGTGACCATATAATCTGTAAAACTACCTGCATAATTATAATAAAGCAATTTATATGCATAAATCAAGCGGAGCACTATGGCGATAGCCGAACTGCTCCACTTGTGAAAGTAAAATCTGTTGGGCTCTTTTTGGCATCAATACAATTATTCTTATTGCCACATTGCCAGACAGGACACTGTAAAAATAAATAAATGTGTTATGACGGGTTCCCAAATGAAAATTTCAGCAACATAAACAGGTGTTTGAAACTGATGGTGGTCAGAGGGCCCGGTGGTGCCAGCATATGGCAGCCTCACTTCTGTCAGTGGGCCCCTGGGCAGCTTTGGCTACAATATAGTTTGCCACCTTAAGTGTGTGTGAGAATGACTGAATGTAGGTCAAGTCCCCTGAGGTAAAAAAAAGTGCAGGCCATTTACCATTAACATCTCTAGTGTACCTTAAGCAGCTACTGTGAAGGAATGAGAGCTGAGAGAGAAAACACCAATAAAGATTGTTAATGACTTACATGAAACCATATACAGAAGCAATCTTTACAATCCATGTTTTTATTTCTGCTTGGTTCATCAATCTAGAAGTGAATACATTCATGGAAAACATCCAGTGCAGAAAACAATGCAATAAAATCTAGTTCTATAAAACAGACGATAGTTTCTCTAAATGACACCAGGTTATTTTAACATCTACAGAATCAGAAACAAAACTATGGGAAAAAAAATAATAGAAAATGTAACCTGTAAAAGATCTTTAAAAAGCAGAAACATAAAAGAAAATATGATTTTAAAGTGAATATCAACACAGATTGTAAATCTGACATTTAATGGAAAAAATTTCAAATTTCTGTAGAAGGTTTGACTTTCGTTCCAAATTATCCATTCTTGTGCAGAAACACATTCAATCTTGATCCATTGATATTTTTCAGCAATGCGCTCTTTTTGGTAGACAAGTTCTAGTTGCAATTTGTAACTTTTTACTTTTATCCCTATGGCCAAGAAATGGTGGAGCGAATAATGTTTTTGTTGACAGTTTTATTTAAAAGATGTAAAAAATAAAAAATAAAAAAATTGACAACAAAAAAATGCACTTCTACAGAAGTGAAAGACTTCTGTAATACATTATTAAGCCAAAGGCTTTTTACCAAGTTATAGCAGATTCAAATTCATCAGTAATATATCAGCAAAATATTAAATTATAACAAAATAAGCAATTTGAACCTTGTTCAGCTCTTTAAACAAACATGTTTCGGTGTGTTACAGCTTTTTATCACGTGTAAAACATGAAAAGGTCTCTCCTTTTCATTCCTCGGCCGTTTAACTGATGTGACTTCTTATGTGAATCAATAAATCTTTCTTTTTAGATCAGATTCATGAATGGATTTCTCACGAGTTGATCTGTGAGATGTCAAACTATCTTTTTGATTAAACTTTTGCCACACCTAGTTCAAGAGAAAGGCGTCTCACCTGTCTGATTTCTAATGTGAGAAATCAAGCTTTGTTTGCTGGTAAGACTTTTTCCATAAAGAGTACATGAGAACAGCTTCCCACCTGTATGAATTCTAATGTGTTTATCAAGAGTGCCTTTTTGGGTAAAGCTTTTTCCATAGGATCCACATTTGTAAGGCTTCTCACCTCTGTGTATTCTCATGTGAGAAGCTAAGCTAAGCTTTAAAATGAAACTATTGCCACAAAGAGTACAAGACAACAGCTTGTCACCTGTGTGAGATCTGAAGTGTTTAAGCTTTATCCAGAGGACACATGTTTGAAAGGCTTCTCACCTGTGTGAATTCTCATGTGACAAATCATGCTTTGTTTGCTAGCAAGACCTTTGCCACAAAGAGTACAGGAAAATGGCTTCTCACCTGTGTGAATTTTCATGTGACAAATCAGGCTTTGTTTGCTAGCAAGACCTTTACCACAAAAAGTACAGGAGAATGGCTTCTCACCTGTGTGAATTTTCATGTGACAAATCAGGCTTTGTTTGCTAGCAAGACCTTTGCCACAAATAGTACAGGAGAATGGCTTCTCACCTGTAGGAATTTTCATGTGACAAATCATGCTTTGTTTGCTAGCAAGACTTTTGCCAGTGAGAGGAAAGGAGAATGGCTTCTCACCTATGTGAATTCTGATGTGTTTATCAAGAGCACATTTATGAGTAAAGCTTTTTCCACAGGACACACATATAATACTTTTCTCACCTGTGCGAATTCTCATGTGATTATTAAGATGGTCTTTTCTGGTAAAGCTCTTTCCACATGAGACACATTTGAAAGGCTTATCACCTGTGTGAATTCTGATGTGTTTATCAAGACCACATTTATGGCTAAAGCTTTTTCCACAGGACACACATTTGAAAGGCTTCTCACCCTGGTGAATTCTCATGTGAGTAGTCAAGATACGTTTGTTAGAAAGACCTTTGCCACAGAGAGAACAGGAGAATGGCTTCTCACCTGTGTGAATTCTGATATGTTTATTAAGAGTACTTTTATCGGTAAAACTTTTTCCACAGGACACACATTTGAAAGGCTTCTCACCTGTGTGAATTCTAATGTGTAAATGAAGATAACCTTTTTGGCTAAAGCTTTTTCCACATGAGACACATTTGAAAGGCTTATCTCCTGTGTGAATTCTGATGTGTTTATCAAGAGCACATTTTTGGATAAAGCATTTTCCACAAGACTCACATTTAAATGGCTTCTCACCTCTGTGAATTTTCATGTGAGAAGCCAGGTTATGTTTGTTAGCAAGACTTTTGCCACAAAGAGTACAGGAGAGCGTCTTCTCACATGTGTGAAATCTGATGTGTCTATCAAAAATACCTTTATGGCTAAAGCTTTTTCCACAGGACTCACATTTAAAACTCTTAGCTATGTGAGTTCTGATGTGTTTATTAAGATAACCTTTATCGGTGAAGCTTTTTCCACAGGACTCACATCTGAAAGGCTTTTCACCTGTGTGAATTCTGATGTGTGCATGAAGATACCATTTTTGGCCAAAGCTTTTTCCACAGAACACACATTTAAAAGGCTTTTCCCCTCTGTGAATTCTCAAGTGAGATGTCAAGCTATTTTTTCTAATAAAACTTTTGCCACAAAGAGTACAGGAGAACGACTTCTCACCTGTGTGAATTCTGATGTGATTATTAAGATTTTCTTTTGTTGTAAAGCTTTTTCCACAGGACTCACATTTAAAACTCTTAGCTATGTGAGTTCTGATGTGTTTATTAAGATAACCTTTATCGGTGAAGCGCTTTCCACTGGACTCACATCTGAAACGCTCTCCACCTGTGTGAATTCTGATGTGTGCTTGAAGATA